GCTTGAAAACAGCCTTCAACAATCTTTGACCTTCTGTGTAAGCTTTGAGGTCCAAATCCAAGGATTTGCTGTGGGAGAGGCATGAGAAAGGTTGGCATTTGTTGGTGTGGTAGGAAAGTGTGTTTTCTATAGCTGATTTAGTCCTGGGTTTATAATTTTCTCATGTTGTGGCATTTCTTTTGTAGAATAGTGTAAACTTAACCTGTGGAGTCTTAGGCTTTCCTAAACGTTCATAAATTGGGGAAAAGAAATGCATCGAAATCTACCAGCATATGAATGACTGTGTATTTGTGAACAAAATGACCTGGCAAACAAGTACATCATAAGTCACATTTACTAAAATGATCCTTCCAGCCTTGCAAATCACTCAAGTTCTGCGTGTGTCTCTGGGGCACTAACAGCATGCACAAGTGAAACTGCACTGTTGGAACTGCTGATAAAGAGACAAATATCACTTCAGTTGACTGAGAATACTTAATATGTGGCCCTGCCTGTGTTGCAACTGAGAGGCAAGCTGTAAACACCTATTAAAACAGCACTATTATGTCCTCCTGTCAAAGTTCTCTTGTCTGTTACCTTTTAAATATTTAAATCTCAGATTCTTTAAAAGCTGTTTCCGCTGCTTTTACTCTTTGGATGTAAACAGATTTGTTAAATATTTTATTTTTAACCCACCCATGAAGATACATTAATTTACATAACTTAATGAAGGCTGCATTATTCATTGAACTTCTCATATAACATTTTTCGTAAGACATTATTAAACAAGTGAAGCAAGCCAGTCTAGTAATGAGTTTTCTCTAAACTTGCTGCCAGTTACATTTCCTTTCTCCTAATCTATCACTCTAATGGTTGCGACTAATAAACTTTTTGAATTTTCGCTGCTAATCTGTATATGTTTTGCATTGCATGCTGGATGTATAAGTTGACAGAGAATTTACAATACAAACCACCTGGCAAACAAAACTATCTGGATTAACAAATGCTATTCAAACCCACCCCATTCTTTTTTGTTATAATAGAGAGGACAGCTACATGTAACGTAATACCTTTAAGCCATAAATAAATTCACTAATTTGGGGCTGGAACATATGAGCAGTATGTCCCAAACACAAGATTTGTGTCTGCCTTCTACAATTTCTAAAACTTTGCCAAAAGTCAATAGATTGAAGTTTGGTTTATGCAGATGTTCAGCATGGCCTTGTAAAAGATCCTATAGTCTTGCATAGGATCCTGTTAGACTGTTCTAGGAAGGACAGTATGTAATAATTTTAAGGTAAAGAAATTCAGCAATGAGTTGCTTACATTTGGGCTACTTAATCTTTGGGACTATGTCAAAAGCAGTTGGATTTTCAGGGAGCCTAAGCAGTGCAGCTCCCTTTGAGACAGCAAATTTTCAGAATTTATACCTCATAAAAATCAATTCCAATGCTTAAAAAACAGAGACAGAGATCCAGGGTTCTAATTTTATGCATATTGGTTTTTAAAAGACTGGGGTATACTCTTTTATCAGCACCCACCCTGAAAACCTCTGCAGATGTGTAGAGTTAACAAAACACAGAAGTATTCTGTTCTCAAAGATGACTAGATGCAGATTTGTAAAAAATTTTTAAAAACTTCCTATAGCACTTAGGAAAGTACCACTTGAAAGTCAAGAATGAAGCATTTTACATATTATTAAGTGTTTTTCTTGGTACCTCTCCAAAGGTTATTCTAAATCACTGAACAGAATAAAATGAGAGAACATATGATAGATTGAAATGGGGTAGAAAAAAGGAAAACTTCCCTCTCAGCCTCTCATCTTGCAAGGTCCAGGAAAAAACTCTTCTAATAAAGGCTAAAAAATAAAATAAAGTGCCAGAAAAAATAAATTTTAAAAACCCTAGGCATATAAGATTTCAAATTATATTTTCCCTTGAATAAGTTCTTCTATGAATCAAAAATAAAAAAAAAAATCTTTCCCAGCTCAACTACTGAAAGCAGCACACAAGTAACATGTCCTCATTTTACATGGACAAAATAAATAAATATGACCAAATTATTTTTAATCATTTCCAATGAATCTTCAGCTTTTTTTTTCCCTTACTCATATAACCTTTACCAAAATTCACTGTTACCCGTTCTGATATTATCTGGAAATACTGTTGTCTCTTTCAATAAGGTATTGATTTATCAAGTAACATTCCTCAGTGTCAACTTACACCCATGTCATTCTTTAATGTCCTTTTTGTTCAAAAATAGATATAACTGTTTGTTGTTAAGAACCACACATTTAGCATAGAATAGATATCAGAAACTCTAAGCACTAGAGATGCTGCTGGCTGGCAGCAGCTGTTATTCAGGTGGGTTTAGAAGTGTGGATTCTAGTAACTCATCTTACCCTAGGGAAGAAGCAGCATGCTACATAGAAATGCTGACCTTTTACTCCAAGACCAAAGCATAGTACTTTCTAAACTGCATGTGATTTTTCAAAGAGAGACCTAGTCAAATACTTTTCTTTTAAATGGCAGGTTAACCAATAGAAGGAATATGATACACTCCAAAAAGGCTGGGCTACAAGAAGGGAGAGAGTGCTCCTCACCAAATCTGTCCCTTTTGTTTGTATCACCTTGTGAGCCCTGGAGCATCAGTCACTAACAGTAACACCTCGTAACACCTGTGAAACGAAAGCGAGAGCGTGGCTGTAGGAGCTACCTGTCAGCAGCAGGGCAGGCTGAAGTGGCTGCTTCTTCTTCCTGCCTCCTCTGCATTGGTGCAGCAGCCCGGCACAAACAATGCTCATGCGGGGAGCTGGAATGAGGAGCTGGTCTGCCTGAAAAACAGTCAGTTTTTTTGGTAGATAATTTTTCAACAAGATCAGTTCCTGGACCCAGCATAACAAGAGGGGTAGGGGCTGGGAGTGCAACTGCCCCTGAACAGTAGCCACAGTCTCGGCGTGTGCCCACCCCAGCCTCTGCTGAGCAGGCAAAGCTACGCTGTCATACCACAGCTCACCTGAAACTGGTCTGCAGCCAGCATCTAAGCTGTCAAAATACAGCTGCAAGAGGAGATTAGCAGGGATTGTAAAACCTGCTCAAGAAGTTGGGCAAACATTTTAGCAATTAACCCAGACAGAGCTCCATTTTACTGTAACTACACTACTACCATTTCTTGAGATAGCTGTTTAAAACTAGCTCCAGGATGCCTAAATTGCACAGCAGTGACAGACCGTTTAACTACAGAAATAAATTATTACAGGGGCAGTACCTAACATAGGCTATGTTGTCATGATTTACAACAGCTTAGGATGTGCTCCCAGATGTCCAGACAAAATCAAATGAAGTATATGATTTTTTTCTTGTTTGAACATAAAAGCCACGCAAACTTGACTCAAAACCAAAAATGAGATTTGCACGTATGACCTTGGACTTACACCGTGAAAGTGTTTGTATTCTCCAGACAGCACTTAGATTCCTATTCATTATAAAAATAAAATATAAACTAAAATAGTAGGAAGACCATGTAAAAAGTTCCCACTTATAAAAGACTTCCATTAAAACCAAACATAACATTTAAAGAATATCAGCATCTATCTGGATTTGCAGAATGTTGTAATGTTATGGAAGAAAATGTTAGGAAAGGATACCAAGACAAGAGTCTTGCTGTTCTCCAGACTTCAGATCACCTCCAAATCAGGACCAAGGTTTGCAATTTTCTGCTACTATATATGTTATAAAAGTGTCTTAAACTGAGGTCATTCATCAAGTCCCTGAGAACATAATGGTACAAGAGGTTTGCATGGGAAAAATATTTAAGATTTTAAACATTGCCAAGAAGACAAAGGCACAATCTGAATAGAATATATTTTGTATTTTAAAATTACAAAAAAATGGATATGAAAAATTCTTGATAGTTAAACTCATATGTAGCTTGTATCTAAGGCCATAAGTTAGAAGCTTATGTATTTAAAATTGTAGCTGGAAACATATCAAATGTGTAATAGAAACACTCCTTAAAAAGAAATCCCAAATCTCATAGATGCTATTAAGCACCTGCAGCTATTTTGAGCAACTTAACTAAATACTTAATTTTGATCTTGGGAGAACGTAATGAAAAAGTGACTGTTTTCCAGAAGCAAACAGAAAATTAAATTAGTCTATGTGGTGCTATAAGTGTTCATGACACTGAATTACATTGGTTTACTTTGTAGATGTTTATAAAGCCAGCCTATGTTGTTTGACTTTTGAGGGAAGACTAATAGGTGTAGTAAGTGGGGGTGGGCACAAACCCCCTTATGGTTAAGCCAAAATAGGGGTCATGCCTAGGGCATTTTATCTGCCCTGCTTACACACCCCTGGGGAATTGCATCTCAACAGTTGATTCTCTGTTAATCAATTCACATTAGTGCCTGCCTTTTAGTTTTCACTTTGCTGAATTCCAGGAAAGAAGTTCTTAAATCAAATGGATGCTCTCTCTCTGACCTAGCCAGAGCTGTTGCATTTCAAGAAGAAATCAGCAGATTTTGTTTGCTCTACCAGCTGATAAGGGACACCTTCGTAAGTAAAGATTCATAGCCAGCAGACTCAACACAGAACAAGATCCAGTGGTCTGTTTGCACAGGTCAGCAGTAATATGGGAAGAGAGGACATTTATGGAATTTTTTTTCCTCAACCTATTTTCTCTAGCTACAAAGACTCACGTAATACATAATTCTTCTGCTTTCCTTTACTCTCTTATTTACTGTGACTCAAAATGACGTGCTTGATAAGGAGACCTGTAGCTCTTGTCATCACTCCTTGTCAATAAGCATGTGTTTTTGCATTGCTCTTGCACTTACAGGCTAAAACTTAGAATAATTCACAAGCGAGAACCACAGGTGAAGAGGGGAGGCAGGGAAGAGTTATGAGCACAGAAATAGCAAGTACGTCATTCACAAAAGCAGATCTGACTTTACATCCAAACTCTTGAGCCCCATTCATTAAGCTACTCTCTAGCAGACACACAGATCTTCATACAGAGGATCATAAAAAATAAACTTTATTACCAAACTTAAAATTCACACAATAAACATAAGATCTAGACACAAATAATACTGAAAACATTCTCAAACAATAACCATTTCAGGTAACTTGCATGAGTAGTTAGTTACCATTTTTTTGAATGCTTTTAGAATATTTCTTATTACATATGCCATCCTGAAATATCTTAAAATGCTTAGCTGGCCAGCTTTCAATGAGATTTTTAAATAGGGGAAAACTTATTTCTATAGAAATAACATTATCTAATTATGAATCAGAGACCCATAATTGTAGTGCTTGGGGAAAAAAAATATCATAGCCTTTCAAAATATTTAGAAGACATAAATAACTATTGTACATTTACAAGTTTAAATATTTAAAGGTCTTTGTTACTATAAAAAGTTACTATGTACATATTAGATGCTATATAGAAATCCAGTCAGAGGCAAATGTTGAACTCTCAGATTTGGCCACTGAAACCTGTGAATTTGGTAGGCAGATTGTCCACAGGGTACACTATGGGGCCCGTTTTCATTGTAGGAGGTCCATTCAGCAGCTGCCAGTCACAGCTCCGAGCCAACTCCACTGTAAATATTTTTAGAAGGACTTTTGCAAACTCTTTGCCCACGCAGCTCCTCAAGCCCCCACCAAAAGGAATGAAACTGAACCGAGAGGAATCCTCTGGAGATGGAGACATGAAGCGATCCGGGTTAAATTCTTCCTTGTTGGTAAAGAGATCTGCCACATCGTGGGTATCACAGATACTGTAAATAACATTCCAACCTTTAGGGATCTGGTAGCCCTATGAAAAGAAGAGAAAGAAGTCATGAAGCACCTTGCTGTGTTAATATATGTGAAGTGACAGCATAGGACACATAGGTTCACCCCACCTCCCCCTCCTGGCTTCCTGCAGGCCACTCTAAGGCAGACAGGCTATGTGAAAGCACTAGTACTTTGCAGCTGCTCTGAGGAGTTGTGCCCAAGCCTTGCTTACATTTAACTCAAGGGTCTTGAGTGCAATTCGAAATCCTCCAGGAACAGGCGGGCTCAGCCTGAGGGTCTCTTTGATGACACAGCCCGTGTACTTCAGCTGCTCCAAGACCTCCATGTCCAGCTGCTTCTCTTGGTTGGAACTGCACAGTAACCCCTAGAAAGGAAGATGCTGCCATGACATTCACGGAGCGGGCAGCCAGGACTCCTGGACTGCAAAGGAGCTGCCCCCCTCAGTGAGTTGTATTATCCTGCCACCCCTAAAAGTAGGGTACCACCTGGGTTAAAGGGAGCCCTGTCTGGGACACCTGTCCTGGAGGTACGTCCCACTGCCCCCTCCTTGAAATGGCTCTGGGGAAGATACACACCTTCACCTGCAGTTCTTTCCTCACTTTCTGCAGGACTTCGTGGTGGAGCCCTAGGAAGGCAATCAGTGATGTGGCAGCACTAGCAGTGGTTTCATGGCCCCCAAACAGCAGCTCTGTGGCAGACTCCTTCAGCTCCTTACACAAAGGAAAGAAGAGGGATAAACTAGACACTAAACACAGTATCTCTACCAAGCCCATTCTTCCACTGCAATGCTATGCATTGCTCCCAGAATGGAGCAGACACCCAGGGGCCAGGATGGAGGTGATCAGAGGTGCTTACGCTCCCAATCCAACAGCCTGGTTGCAACCTCTGCACCCCAGTGCTCAACACAAGCTGGTTTATTTTATGGGGAAAGGGAGCACCTCCTGCTCCTTCCTTTTTATCCAAAAGATAAGTGTGATGCTGACAAGGGGACTGGGGGAAAGGGATGGATCTGGCCCTGGGGAACCTTACCTGCATGTTTAGCTGCTCCCCATTGCCCTGTGTGTATTCCATCAGCAGCTGCAGCGCATCCTTATAGCCACCCTCGGGCTCCTTACGGGCCATCTTGGCACGGATGTTCTCCTCGATCTTGGCGTGGATGATGTTGCGTGCCCGCAAGCCCTAACCAAGCAGCAGGGAGAGCAATGTGGAACTTGGGCTGTACTGCCATCCCTCCCATCTGTTCCCCACTGCCCTGGCTGCAGGGGTACCTCTCTCCTCCTGGCCCACCGTGAGCCTTACCCGGTAGAGCCCACTGAACGGCACATCGATGGGGAGGGAGAATAGATTGCGGATCATCTCCTCGAAGGCCTCCACAAGCTGCTGCTCGCCGTCGGGGCTGGCCTGGCGGGGCTGGAAGCCCAGGAGGATCCTCATGGCAATACGAAACATGAGGCGCTTCACCTCGGGGTACACCAGCAGGCAGGGCCCGGCGGCGCCCAGCCATCGCTCCAGGCAGGCGCTCACCTCCTCCTGGATGACGGGCACGTAGTGCTGCAGGGCGTCCCGGGAGAAGGCTCGCATGATCACCTGCCCGAGGGGACGAGGAGGAATGGGACAGAGGCTCAGCCGCCGCGTCCGGGGCGACCGCGCCCGCTCCCCGCCCGCTGTCGGGCCGTACCTTTTTGCGGTGCTTGTGCTGCCCGTTGTGGAGGTTGGAGAGGCAGCCCGAGCCCAGGATGGTGCGCACCGAGGCGGGCCACTGCACAGAGACGAGCCGGTGCTCGCCCAGCAGGATGTGCCGCACGTTCTCGGCGCCCATCACCCGCACCGTGGGCCGCCCGAAGAGGTGAGTCTTGTAGATGAACCCGTATTTCCTGCGCTTCATCTGTAGGAATTTCCGCCTCTGGACAGAGGAGGAGAGGGGAGAATGATAAAATAAATTTTAGAAGGGAGGAGAGGAAGAGGCAGGGAGAGCAGCTCTTTCCCACCTGGGCACGGGAGCCTGGCAAAGTTGTTGCTCATCTCCCTCCCCTGCAGCCAGAGCAGCAGCCGGGGAGCCTCTCCGCTCCCCGCGGCATCGCCTCGCCTTACCTGCAGCACCAGCTGCAGCGTCTCCCCGAAGAAGGGGAGCCCCATGGTGCCCGGGGGCAGTGGGAGCGGGCAGCTGGGGTCGCGGCTGCTCACGCAGTACAAGTCCCAGAGCTTGACGGCGGCTAGAAACAGCAGCAGGGGCAGCAGGAAGGTGCACAGGGCGCTGGCGACCAGGACAGAGAAGCCCATGACTGGGGAGCGAGTCCCGCCTGGCCCCCTGGGAGCTCCGAGTGCGCGGGCCGGGCTCGCCGCGGGCCGCCTTTTATACCCTTCCCAGGTTGCTGCCCACCCTACCTTGGTCCGATAAATTAGTTCACCCAAAGTTCATCTTTAATTGCGGATTGCGGCCTGGCTCCTCCCCCCGAAATCTTTAACTATTTGCTTTGCGTAGTGCATCCTGCCCGCCGCAGATCACTGCCAGGGAAGGAAAGGTGCCACCGGGAGCAGCGGCAGAGCCTTCGGGCTCGCTGCCCCTGCACCGCGCTCGGCGAGTAGGCTGCGGGACGCCGCTGATAACTGGTGGCGGCCACCTCCTCCTCCTGCTCCTCGGATTTATTGTCGATGCTCGTCACAGACCAGCAGCTGCGCCGAGAAATGTCCCGCGGCTCGGCTGCCCGCAGACACCTACCCCCGGCGCGCTGCCCGGCCGGCTCCGGTGCGCTCTACGAGCTGCGGAGCTCCTTCGCTCGCTCGCCGCTGTCGCCGGCCGGGAACGGCGAGGTAGCGGCCGGAGCCGGACCGAGGGGTCCCCGGTGCTAGGGCAGCTGGGCGGCACCCCGGGCAGAGCCGCAGCAGTGCCACCGCATCGGCGGAGGAGCCTCCGCTGTCCCCTGGTTCACCTCGAAAGGCCCGGCTTGTATTTCTGCCGGCCGCGGAGGAAGGAGCCGCCGGCAACAGTCCGTCTCTCGATGCAGGTTCAAGCGCGGGTCACCGAGGGAAAGGGAGGTGAGGGCGGAAAGGAAACACCAAACCCGCCGTGCCCAGCTTCTCTCCCCGGGATCCACTGCTCACCCTCGCCTGAGGCTGCCTGGCATCCCGTCGGGGCTGCCGCGGTCGGAAAGAGGCGCTCAGCACCGGCGGGCACTCCGCCTGCAGGCGCGCCGCAGAGGGGTTCGCTCCCGGTGCCCACAGGCAGGCACCGGGGGCTGCGCTCCGGGCGGGAGCGGCGGCCCCGAGCGGGAGGAGCGCGGCGGTACCGGGGCGCCCGGCGGGACTGGGCAGGCTGTGCTGGCTGGGGCTGGGGCGGCCGCCGTGTCCCGGCGCAGAAGCCGCTGGGGAAGGGGCGCCCGTCGTGGAGCGCGGCTGCGGGGCCGCGGAGCTCTCCGCCGGGCACGGCTGCTGCCAATACACTACCGCGCTCGCTTTTTTCTTCTTCTTTTTTTTTTTTTACAGTTTTTACCTCTTCCCTCTTTGTTACTTTTGCTTTATTGCTCCCAGACAAGCCCAATAAACGCTGGAAGTTTTGTGTGTGTGTCTGTGTATGGGAGAGGGAGATGTCACTTTTAATTATTATTTTTCTAGCAATGAACGCATCACACGGGACCCTCCCTCCTCTTACGATCCCTTGCGGGAGCGAGGCTGCCCGCCTCCGCACCCTGTTACCCAAGAGGGACACCCCCGGAGGGTAGTCCCCCGGCCCCGGAGGCAGCAGCCCCTCGGGGTACGCCGCGGTCCCGGGCGGCTCCGCGGAGCCCGTCCGAGAGCGGCGGCCGCGCCCTGACCCGGCGCTCTCTCCTTGCCGGGCGCTGACCTGCTTGTGACCTACAACACGGACCGTGACATCTGCGTGAACCCGGCCGGCAAGCGCGCCAAGTTCACTGTCTATCAAAATAACGAGATACGGTGGCCTGAGCACCGATAATTGCCACAGGAAGGCTTTATTATCTCCCCAGCTGTGTATTCCCCAGCCACCGGCTTGAAAAGAATCAAATGGTAAAGAGTGAAAGGGATAATTAAAAACATCTTGGAAGGGGGTCAAGAAATTAACAGCCTAATATGAACAAACTTTGATTACAAGTAACAATTATTACACTTCATTTGTAAATGCTCGTGTTTATCTGCAAACAAAATCAGTTTCAAGTCTTTTTTTTTTTTAACTAGATTCATGTTACATTTTTCAGCGGGTGGCTACAGGGCTCGTTAGCGCTCGGGGTAATTTTTAAGTGCGCTGCTGGAGAAGCCCCGACCCTTCTGCACCAGGCTCAGCCCTGCCCACAGCCCTGCCTGCGGTGGGACCCCGAATCGCCCGCGGTCTCAGTCAGCCAGCAGCTCCTGCTAATTAAAGTTAGTCATTGCCACTTGCACCCGCCATCTACTGATTTCACCTCTGATAAGCAAAAGATACACCTTTCAGGACAAGGTCAGGAGGGGCAGAGGCTCTGGTTCGCCACAGGGCCGGCCTGCCAACAGCACTTAACTCAGCCCTGCAGTTCAACCTCCAGATTTGACCTGTTACATTTGGGAGCCACATTTCTGCCCCAGGTGGCAGAGTGGTCACTGCACAGCCCTCAGACAGCCAACGGCGGCACACACCCTGCTGCAGTGCCCCGGCACGGACAAGGGGGATTGGCCAGGGTGAGGTCATTTGTAGCCTGGCACTGAAGCAGGAGGATGACAGTTTCAGGAGACTGAAAAGCTCTCAGGGCCTTTCCAAAGGGACACTGTGCCACATTTTGGCCCTCACAGGTCAAGCTGGTGCTTCACACAGAGCACACCACACCACCAGACACAGAATGCTCCGGAGGAACAAGGCAGATTATTTTCCCCACTGCATCCACACAGGATGTATGACAGTGGGGAGCAAAGGGGAAGCTGAAAGAAGCTTATAAACGTATTGTTGTGGACCAAGGACCTGGCTCTAGTTCTGTTATCAGTACACAAGCAACAGGACTCACTTCATTTTACATGGGAGAGAAACACTCTGTGGAGGTACTCAAAAACCATCTAGAATGGTGCTCTCAGAACCCAAGCTTCCACCCTGTGGATGGACCATGGAGCTGCTGTCCTGGCACTTTCGCTGGCAGAGCTAGGCTGACAGAGCTGGCAAGGTCAGTCTGGCCAGCCAGTCACCACAGAGCCTGTGTCACCTTGCAAATGTCCCCTCTGCAATGTGAACAGCATCACCAGGAACAAGGGACTTTCTACCACAAATCAGACATACTCAGAAATGTCCATTTTCTAAATGTTTGCTCCCCAAAACCCCCTCCCATGCTTCAGTTCGATCCTGTGGTTAGGATTGGACTTGTAGCTGGGGAGCACATCCTGTGGGGACAGCAGAGTGGGGCTTCATGGCAGACCCCAAGCAGCAGCACAGTGCTCAACACAACATACACAGCTACTACTACTGGGTGACTGAGAGATATCCTCTTTGTGCCAGCTCTAATGGGAAGTGCAGGAATGAGATTAAATATTTACAATAAAAACCACTTTACACCCTATTATTCCAGCTAGCACTGATGCCATGAATTGAGCAGCTCTGGCTTGTGTTTTCCTGCAGAGCCCCCCATCTTTCTTCTTTTTACATCTAAAAAGCTACAGTGTTCAGGATGTTCATCCTGCCTCTCCTATAACACAGGAGAGGTAGGAGACAACCCAGGGATAGAAATGCTCTGGGAGCCTTAGCTGTAGGCCTGAGTTTTGCTCCACATCCCTGGTAGCTGGAGACCTTTATGGAGTGGGGGCTGGCTGAGGCCCCATGGCATATGCTCCCTGCCAGCAACTTCGATGGGTTTTGCCCCCAGGCTGGGGCTGAGGTTCACCCTAGCGTTCAGGAGCGTGACTCTGCAGGACTCTCCCTACCAGCCTGTACACTAGGAGGGGAAAAACAGACCTTTAGGTTTTGCTCTGCAGTGATCCAGTGCCATACCCAGCCTGAAGCAGTGGAGACCTGCCCCCAGTAGCTGTGGAGGGGCATCAGCTCCAGGGCTGAGGGGAGCAGCGTACCCCTAGCTCAGGCCCCACAGCCATGGCCAGGCTACAAGGGGTGGAAGTAGAGCTGCAGCCCATCATCAACGGGGTGCACGATGGGCACAGTCTGCATGGCGGGGTAGCCAGGGGTGGCCAGCTCCCAGCGGGCTGTGCTGACCAGCTCAATGGCCAGCAGCTTGAGGATGGCCTGTGCCAGCTCCTTCCCGATGCAGCTCCGTGCCCCACCACCGAAGGGGATGTAGTGGAACCGGCCTGCAGCCTCCATCCGGGTGGCACCAAAGCGGTCTGGGTCGAAGCTGCTGGGGGGGCTCTGGTAGACAGCAGCTGTCTCATGTGTGTCACGGATGCTGTACATGACACTCCAGCCTTTGGGGATCTGGTAGCCCTGGGAGGGGAGAGAAAAGGGGAGGAGAGGAGTGTTACATACCCGTGCTAGTAGAGGGTGAGCAGAGGGTGCCTGAGGACCGCCCCAACATACTGCCCACCTGCTCTGTAGCTCCTTTTCTCCCCAACCGAGCTGGGACCCACAGAGGTTGCTGGGTGCCACCTCCCCCTGAGCTACACTGCCAAGCACCACCACTGTGCTGTGCTTGCATGAAGTGCAAGCAGTTCCCTAACAGCCTGCAAGGCACTTACATCGAGCTCAAAAGTCTGCAGTGCCGTCCTGTAGCCTCCGGAGACTGGGGGCAGCACCCGCAGCACCTCCTTAATCACACAGTCCAGGTAGCGCAGGCGGCTCAGCTTCTCCAGGCTGATGTCCGAGGAGCAGTGACAGCTCTGCCCTGATGGTGCCTGGAGCTGGGAGCCAGTGCAGAAGTTGCTCCGGGGGACGGTGGGCTCCAGCAGGGCACCGGACTGGAGGGAACCTTCCTCCACTGAGGCCGGGGGCTGGCTCTGATCCTTCTGAACATCTTTGGCTGTGGAGTGGAAACGTGGTTTCTCTCTGTCCCTGCTCTGCATGGTCAGGGTGTCCGGGCAGGGTCCTGCAGGGTGGCACTCACACTGCTGATACAGTTCATGGGACATCAGCTCCTGCCTTATTTTTTCAATCACTGAGGGGTGCTTCAGGAGCAGGAGGATCAGAGAAGTGCTGGCACTAGCCGTGGTGAAAAAAGCAGCAAATATGAGCTCAATTGCTGACTCCTGGGAGAGGAATGAAGGTGACAAGTTTGAATGCCATTTTAAACTGATTGTGATTTAGACTGTTCTCACCTTTTTCAGATTTTGTCCCTGTGCAAAGGGCCCTGGCCCCCACTCTGTTTTCCACAAAGCTGTACCCATCCTGGGTTGGCAGGAAGCAAACCATTTATGAACTGGACATCCACTTGCCCAGTGACTGGTGCAGAAACACAGCTGAGTGCACATCACCACCAGTACAGCTCTTCTGAGCTTTCCTCCTAAGATTTACCAATTTTAAAGCAGCATTTTAACATGCATTATAGCACACTGAGGGAAGTCCATTTCAAGCATTATGCCTTTTCTCTTCATCTGCCAATTCCCCTTTGCACCCACCTTTTACTCTTCTGCCCAGGCAGTGGATATGAGCGTGTTTATGCACAAATCCTAGATGTGCTGGCAGCTAAAATGGGTTGCATTTGATGCATCTCTGGTTATAACTGACCGTTTGCTTATCTGGGAGGGGACTGAAGCCAAGAGTTGAGAGCAGAAAGACCTCTCTGCTACAGTAGGTCAGCCTGGGAAGTACTATAGCTTGCAGGGAGCACACACCAGGCAAAGGACTTGCTCACCTTTCAAGCTTTACAGCCTGAAGCACAGCAGTATTTCTGATAGCTCCGCTGCAGATGTATCCATTACGAGTTAGGAAGTTAACCAGCTCAGATAGATGGACCACAGAACAGTCAAATCTGTAATAGGTGCCTTGTTCCAGTTCACGGATCCCCACGCAGCCTCCCAGTCTTTGCGGGACTGTCTGCAGGGTCTATATTGGCACAGCACATACCAGGATGCTGTGGGCTGTTTGCAGCACCCTCTGATGAACTTTTGCAAATGGTTTTCCAAAAGTTAAGGGCTGCCCAGAGCTGGGTCATGGCATATCATGTCTCTGACAGCAAACATAATGCTCAAACCTACAACACCATCTGAAGGTGCCAGTGGGAGCACAGGACTGGGAGCACCAAGGCCAGAGGCCAGAGACAAAAGCGAAGGGAGGAATACCAGGAGCTACCACCCTGGGAGGACTGGGACCTGGCTGGCACTACAGAGCACTAATTGCTTCAGTCCAGGGGCAAAGCAGAGCAAAATCCTCCAAGGACACAGAGCAGTTTCCTTTCACATGACTGTATGTCTGGACTTTAAATTGTTCAGACACAACAATTGTTCTGGAGAGGTGAAGCCACAAACACAGAGAAGGACACCTGAAGCCTGAATGTACTTGGACCCAAGTCTGATAAGGTCAAGGATCATGTCACAAGGATGACTCTTTGCTACCATCCCCAGTGCCATATATTGGCTGGACTAGATGCTTTTGTCAAAGTGCAGCTCTCAAGGGCATCTTTCAGCTGAAATAAAACCTCTGGAATAACAGATCCCTGTCAACCCCTATCACACCTCCTGCAGGCATGAGCAGGGATTTTTACATTCACAAGGTAGCAGATCCAGATGAAAAGAAAGCTCTCAGTTCCACCACTTGCAATTAAACCCCAAGACATTTCAATAGCATGCAAGGAATTTAGGGCAAGCTCTGCAATTTGAAATAACAGCCCTTATGACTCTCTGCATCAACCTCTGACAGTGCTGCTGCAGAAGCTGTGACACTGAGCCGCTGACTTTCCCTTCCTGCTCCTACAAGGCCAACATAACCAGTGCCTGGAAGGCAGCACCTTCCCAAGTTTCACCAGTATTGTCCCTGTGCTACAGCCCAACTCCCTGTCCTGGAGGGCAGGACAGGCAGCATTACAGTTCCACCCATCCAGCCAGTGACAGCACTATTATGTAGGATGGGGTCTTTTTAATCTTTTCAGGGTTTTAAGTATTTTAAAACAGTACTTTTGGCAAAGCAATATTTTTTTAATGACCTTTACATTTCAAGGGTCCTGGTAAATTCATGCCAGCAGCGTATTTAGGAAAACTTCTGGAAAGACTGTCCTTCCAAATAATTTGAACACAAAGCAAATTAGTAACTAGTGTGTGCCAGTGTTTGAAGGCTCTCTCAAAGACAGATAAATCCATGTCTCTGAGACAGCTTTGGACTTTTTATCCAATTACACCATTTAATGGAATGAAAGCTCTCCTACTGTTATATTAGAGTGAATATTGCCATAATCGCAAGCATAGGCAGTTTGGTTTGCAAGCAATTTTGTTAAATACAGACAAAATAGAAATCTTCTAACCATAATGCTACAGGACAGTGTATCCTATAGTATATATATATATATATATATATACTTTTAATATAATATATATTATAGTATATATTATATACTATGATTTCAATCAGCTGGCCCCAGATCACCGCCATGTAACTCCATATTACATTTAATATCCCCTTATTGCATTTGTGGTCAGAGCCAGGGACATGATGAGAGATCATGAAATTATTCTTGTGTAATATTCATGTGAAAACTAACAGAGAGTAATTAATCTTAATCAATCACATTTTGAACGTTTCAATTATTTTAAAAATTACATTATAATAAAAATATATTAGAATAAATAATATAATAAATAATTATAATAAAATTACTTTATTAACATATTTTGATTCTAATTATATCTACTAGTTGCTCAAAGTTTTTCAAATATTTTAGATTTAGAGATTACCTTTTTACAAAATATTTATAAAATATTAGTCTTTAGACAGTTTTCCTTAAATACTTAAGTAAGCAGTGAAACTACCTTTAAACTATATTCAAATACTTTTGAACTGTATTCAGCTGCTGTACCCATGCAAAACTGCTTCAAAACTTGTTATATAAATGTAGTGTCATCTGTAATTCACTGATACCAAGTGACCTGGAACTATGAATGATGCAGTACTAATGACAATTTTTTTCCCAAGATCTTTGGGAAAATACTCTTCACATTCAGTTAGTGGTTTAGGCTCAGTAAGGACTACTGGGTTCATCTTTACCTTTAGCTCCTGCATGGTGAATTCCTTGCCGTGCTCCTTGGCACTGTTCATTATGAAATCCAGAGCATCACTGTGATCTTCTGGGTTGTTTCTCTGCAGTTTTTCCTGTATAGCCTTCTCCATAAACTCATGTAGCATGTCCCGTGCTTTTATTCCCTGTGAGAGGCAGACACAGTTCAGGAGAACCTTAGGAATTGAACCCCTCTCCTGAGAGACTGAGGGAGCCCATGAGTAGCAATCCTTAAAACCAGGATCTATAACAGCAAGAACAGTTTAATCTGTTGCCCAGCCCCAGAGCCTTGCAAGAGGCAGCAGTCTGGGGGGAACTGCTGCACATTCTGTTGCTTTGCTGTTGTGAATCAAATACAATAAGTCACAAGAAATTCTCTGAGAGGAAAAGACAGCAGTAAACACGTGGTACCAAGTTCAGAGGCATCTGCGCTGAGCAAACCCACAATTGTGTCAGGTCCAAAAGAAGCTTGTCCAAAGGGACAAGAAGAGGTAACTTAATAAAACTGAGTCCAGACAGCAAGGCACATCTGAGAAAGGATCAAATGAGTGGCTTAACCAGGGTATAGTGGAAAAAGACACATTAATCACAGCCAGCTCATCTTCAGTTGTGTAACATTCATGTAAGATCTCAACAAGTCAAGTGATCAGCAATCTCTTTGCAAAGTGGGATGGAGTCACAGAGTGTGGCTCTCTATCAAGATGCTTCCTGCAAAAGCCAGAAGGATGAGATTTGGAATGAAAAATGGCCACGACCAGATGTTGGGAAAAACATACAAAGGGTTAGATTTGAGGTGGGAAGGACTGGACAAAGTAAACAGGGCAGGGAGCAAGGGGAAAGACAAGGGGACCTAAATGCAAGTGGAACATATTGGTCTGGGGCCAGACAGCCTGTGGCTGACCTGAGAGAGGGCAGAGAGGGGTAGGATGTGAGGGGTGAAAGCCCACACTGTGCCAACCTGCAAAGGGAAACTGGACAAGGAAAACCAGAGCTTTGAACTGGTGAAGAGCAGCAGGGAGGCTGGGGGTGAACTGGGACTCGCTGGGTAAGGGGATCCAATGGGGCAGAGCTCACAGTGGAAATAAGAGATGAGGGAAGACCTGCCTAAAGTGGGCAGGAGACTTCAGCTGTGGTAAGTACCGAGAACCTAAAGTCAGAGGAGGGAGTAATGTGAGAGGAGAGGTGGTACACAGGACCAATACCTAGAACAGGAGTGTAGGGAGGCAGGCAAAGAGGAGTAGAGCAGCAGGGAGGAAACTGCAAATTGAAAGAGGCAGAGGAGGCTGTCTGCCACGTTCCTCTCCCTGGGCTGTCTCCATGCTGCTGGGCTACAAGGGACCAAGGATCATAAGAGGTCCCAAGTCCTTGGCCTGCCTAAGTTGCACAGGGGGTGCTAAACTGAGCTGTGTGCTCATGCCCACAGACCCCTCTGCCGTTGACTGACAGGAGTCCAGGTAGGATGAGATGGGACAGGCCCAGACATGATGAACTAACCAGAGGCAACATATGGGATGAGGGAGAAGAGAAGCCCTGCACAGTACAATGAACTGGAGCCAGGACCCAAAGGTGCTGGAAGTCAACCAGGAGCAGGTGGGAAGTGCAGAGAAAGGGAAATGGCTGAATTAGGTAAGACACCAAGCCCTCAGACCTGGAATAGGGTGCTGCAGATGTCCTGGCCCATTGAAAGTGCCCCTGGGCAGGCCTGGGGACAGGAGGTCTCTGCTGCCAGGGCCCAGGCCCTTGTCCCCAGGCAGAGGGAATGGGACATGCGGCAGTACCTTGCGCAACCCACTGAAGGGTATGTTGAGGGGCAGGGAGAAGAGGTTCTCCACCAGCTGTTCAAAAGTTTTGGCCAGATCCTTGAACTGCTTTTCCTCCAGGCGGAGCCCCAGGAGTATCCGAGCTGCAATGCGGAAAGTTAAGGTTTTAGCGGAGGAATAAACTGCGATGGAGCCCGGCTCCATGCACCAGCCCCGCAGCTCCCAGCTCACAACCTTCTGGATCCGTGGAAGGTAGCTCTCCAGGGCAGCACGGCTGAAAACTCTGGCCAGGATCTAGGAGGAAAAGGGGGGAACACAAGCAGGTAGTTAAAGCAGGGGGAGCACACATGCCACCGAGGCCCAAGCCTGGGCGGAGGTGCCGCCTGGGCTGTGTGCCCTGTTGGGGTGGCCGAGAGACTCACCTTGCGGCGTTGGCGGTGCAGGTCACCAGTGGAGCTGAGCAGGGTATGGGAGCCCAGGATGATATGGGTGCTCTGTGGCCACTGCGTGCTGACCAGCGTGTGCTCGCCCAGAAGGATCTTGCGGATGTTCTCAGCGCCTGTCACCCGCACCACCGGCCGGCCCAGGAGGTGGGTCTTGAAGACGTTTCCATATCTCTCCCGCCGTGAGCTATGGAAGCGGGAGCCCTGGGGACGAGCTGTGGGTCAGCCTGTGGCTTCCACCAGTCCCTTCCCATCCCGCCCTCGTCCACCGGCGCCTTACCTGGAGCAGCCAGTGCAGAGTCTCCCCAAAAAACGGCCAGCCCATGGAGCCCTTGGGCAGGGGCAGGGCACTGGCCCGGTCCCGGCTGAGGCTCCAGCGCAGCGCCCACAGGTGCCGGCACAGGGTGACCAGCAGAGCCAGGGCCAGCAGCGCCAGCGCCGACGCCTCGGGCCAGGAAAGCCCGGCCAGCATCGTCCTCCGGCGGCGGGGACGGGCGGGCGGCTGCGGGGGCGGCTGTCAGACCGGCTACCGGCGGCGGGCGCTGCACGGCGGGCCCTGCCGGCTGCTGCCCGCCCGGCCCCGCTCGCCTCCTGCTGCCGGTTCGCCCCTCGGCCACATTTATATAGATATTGGCCACTTACGCCCGATCCACCTTCGGAGATGACGTATCCGCTGCATATTTAAGCGGCGCGGCCAAGTGCGGTGATTGGCGCGGGAGAGCCGGGCACAGCGGCCGAGGGGCGCGGGGCCGCGGCGGGGCAGCCCCCCCGGGGATGGGGGCCCGGCGGCCCCCCTCCCACCCCTCTCCCAGCCCCTCGTGGCGCCCCAGCCGGCGGCGGGACGGCTGCCCCGGGAGCGGGAGCGCCCGGCGCCCCCTCGGGCCAGCTCTCCCCGCCGCCCGGCGAAGGTAGCGAGTCCCGTCCCGGGCTCCCCCGACCGAGGAGCGCCCCAGTCCCGCCTCTCCCGGCTGCCCGGACTGCAGCGGCAGTCGGGGCGATCCTGCAGTGCCCCCGACCCGCACCTCGCCGTCGGGGCCGCCCCGACCCCCGACCGCCTTCCCCAGGGGTAAATCGCCACTGAGTCAGGACCCGTACAGGTCCCGCGAAACCGGCTCTGGAGTGCGTGCTGGTGTGTGAAATTAAACAGGAACACGGGCGAGGTTTATCTTACTGTATTTAGACCGTCAATAACTTAAAAATACAGCAAAAATGTACATTATTTTTACACGTTCCATTTGGTTTGTATTTGTTAGACATTCTCTTAGTGTCTAAAATAGCCAGGAGGGGACAGTGCAAAGAGACCGGTGGTGGGACAAAATGCTAATCGCTGGGATGGGGCTGGCGGTAGAAAGCGCATACTGACAAACAGATGCGGCACGAAACCAACAGCGGCAAACCTATTCCTTACTGCAACCTGGGAAAAAGAACCCGGGATCTTACAAAATAGAATTAGTAACCCTGAGGAACAAAACCAAAACGAAACAAAATGTCACATTATAAAGAACTCAAATGGTTATTTACATTCACGACCTCAAGATTAAACCCTTTTGGAGAACAAAGCCTATAAGTCCTAACACTAAATAGGTATCAAGTCTAGTTCTCAGGTAGTTTTCAAAGGTACTAAAAATCAGAAGACTTTGTCATACCTCCAGACTACAAAATCTGATATACAAAATTATGTCCAGTCACTTTAAGGCTAATATACATTTAACGCAGGAAAACAATAGGCAGCATCTGAAACACAAGTATCTCAATGCTTAAAAACATTAAATTAGGATTCAACCAGAAAATAGCAACTAAGGGATCATTTCTCAAATAATTCCTATCCGGAGCAAAATTTTGGACACCATATCTGCAGATATTTAAATAACGTATTTACAGTTCAGCTGTTCCATGTACAATACGATTGCGCTGGTTTTTATTGTACAGTCTCATTTTTTACCATTTGTTTACAATATACAAAATAGTATTCGAACCATTAAAAATACGTACAAAGAATTGTTTGTTGAAGACTCCATGTACAATCCATCTACTGCATTTCTCCTTTACTCAGTCAAACAAATGTCCTAACTGGTATCACTCTGCTTAGTAGAAATAGTGGCTAAGAAACACCTCTTGGCATGACGAGATATTGTTGATTTAAGAGGCCTATGTGTGCTGGGACATACCATTCACTAAACTCCTAAGTTGCTTTACTACAGTCTCTATTAGCTTCTGCTTGTCACGATCATTCTTTCTGAATTGAGCAAAAATGTTGTTCTTTTTGCTGGAGTCTTTCATTCTAGAGAAATAAAACAGGAAATTACACAAACACATAGAAACATAATTTCAAAAGGAAAAATCCGACTACTGAAACAGTTTTATTATTGATCCTCTTTTTATCTTTCTGCTAATAAGAACTGAAAGATCACAAAACCTGTTATCTGTGTGTTCTTAAACTCAACTTCTGCAATGCAGAACTGGTTTTAACAAATATTACTTCACAAATAACACATAACTATGAAGCAAACACCCATTCGGCAGGACCCTGGCCCTACCCACTGCCATAAGAAAGAAGCAAACCATAAAACCCGTTAATATCATCTGCCTCCATGGTAATTTAGATGCAGTGAACGGGCGAATTTTGCTCACCATCAATAACGGGCATCGTTATCGCTGATTTCCCGTAGTAATGGATTTAAAAACGAAATTCGGGAAATTAAATAAGTTAAAGCAACAATATTTTGTAACAATATAGGCGATACGTACCCTCTGTGAACTCTTCAGAAGACATATTCATCACAGGCAGGAGAGGAGAGAAAACACTGTTAGAAAATGTCTTTAAACCGCAGTGTGTTCTGATGCGGCTTTTACCAGCAGGTTGGTACCGGGCTGGCGGCAACCCGCCCTCCTTACCCTGCCCTCCCAGTCCACCCTCCAGGCCGGCCGAAAGGCTCGCACCGCTTCACCACGGCAAACCCCACGCATTTCCCTTCCCTAGAGCGGCAATTCGGGCAGCCGCGGGCTGAGACCGCGGTACCAGCACCGCCCGCCGCTCCGCGCCGCTCCCGGCACCGGGACACGGCCGTGCTGCCGCCGGGCTTCGGCCGCGCCGCTCCCGGCAGGGCGGGCGGCTCCAGCCCCGACCTAGAGCCGCCTCCATTCCCGTGCAGGCAGCTCCGAACCCTGCACTTACTTCTCCAGGAGCGTGAGGGCCGTGCTGGGGTTGACCCGCAGGTACTTGGAGGTGGCCTGCCCGTAGTCAGCCAGGTAGGTGGACCAGTCCCACACCATGAAGAGGTCCAGGAGCTGCGGGGGAAGAGGCGGGTGAGCGAGCGCGGGGCGGCTCTGCGGAGAGGAGGACGGCCGCAGCCTCTCGCCGAGCCCAGCCGACACCCTCCCTTCACCTGCCCATTTCTTTCTTTTACATCCCTTGCCTCCCTCCCTGCGCAGGGAGGCGGCTGTGCAGGTTCGGCCCTAGGAAGGGATGCTAATGGCTTCACGCTTTGGTATTTGGGAACTTGCTTTGGTGTTTGGGAGCTTGCTTTACCGTGGGGAGCAAGCTAGGGATGTTTGTGTCTGCTGCTCCTCACAGTAGTTAAAAGCAGAGGTTCAGGTAGTCTCAACTAAGTGAATTAAACACCTCCCGCTGCACTCTCCATTGTGACTGATCCCCGAAACTCAGCGCCAAGCCCTGGGCACACTTCTGGCCCAAACAAACCCAAACATTTCAGTGGAGGAACAAAAAGCCTCCAAATGCAGCCCTACACCTGGCTGCAACTTCAAATCAGGCCTTTGACTCATGATCTCAGAGCTGCTGTTCAGCAAAACAGCCTGCTTTTACAATCAGACACAACGCGGAACCTCCAGCAGTCAGCACCCTCGCAGCCCTCCAAGCCTAATTCCCCCTCCACCATCACGGGGCGCAAGCCAAGCACCGCTGGGCACCCTGCCCAGGCTGCCAGGGGCCAGGACACAGGCAGCCCCGCTCGGGGAAGCCTTTCCCACGGCTACCTGCGGGCCAGCGGGCCCCACTGCCATTGACGTCAATGGCGGGGCGCCCCCAGCTTCCCCCTGCGTCTGGTGCCTGGCCTGGTCCTACTGCTGAGGGCTAACAAGGGCTTGTTCTCAGGCTGCCCTGTGTTAGCCAAACCTAGTGTTAAAGTAAGCGTGGGGAACCATTAGCAGCACTTCGCTCCAGCTTGTAGTGCCTGTGGCAGCATAACCTAGGGCCACTGCTTGCCTGAAGGCCTGCTGAATCCGTAATGCTGGAAAGGTGGTGCTGAACAGGATTTTCTATAACAAAACCACTTAAAAATATGTAACAGACTACTGCAAGTCACAGAAAGAAAGAACCCTGTTCACTTTAACATGTGCTCCTGCTAAGTCATACCAGAGCTGTTACAGCTGGGGCACAACAGTAGCAGCTCCTGCTCCTCGAGGTAGAGCTGCAACAGGTGCCCACCCCTCTGACTCCTCAGGCTATGCTAAGAGGGGGACTGCACCTCCAAGAACCTTGCCTTACTCAAACTTCTCAGCCAGATGAAGTGCCAGAGGTGTCCACTAATGCTCATCCTCAAAATCATAACACCAATTTCATTATAAAATAAAAGCATACAGTAGCAACATTTCCTGCCTTTATAATGAACCTCTGACACAATTACTGCTATCATCCCAAAGACCTCCAGGGACCATTAGAAACCTCAGCGACATCTAGATTTTACATTTAACTATCTCATATGGATGAAAAGTATTTAAGAAGCAAGGAAGCTATTTCATTCTCTGCTGACTTACATACCCATGATAGCTGACAAGATCAAAAACAAATAGTTCTTTCCCACAAAGCCCTTTCTCAGAATGGACACCACCAATTCTCCTACCTAACTGAGAACATCACTTTAGTCACTGAGCAAACAGACTTGGGAAGGCTTGTTAACTCAGGAATTAGTACCATCTGGGAAACCCACAGCCTCAGTTGCTGCTGCATATTACTCATCACTTCTTATTACCTGTGTTACACAGTCAGTAGTGCCCAGTCCTCAAAGGCTGTATGAAATTTAAAAGCACAACTCAAAGAGTAGAAAGGTAGGAAGAGCAGACGCACAACGCAAGCAGGGAGGATAAAGGTGATAACCACAGGAACCCAAACTGTATAATCTGGTGACTTCATGTTCCCTCTCTCTTGCAGAGAAGTAAACAGAGAAGCAAACAATGTATTAATAAATTACTGCTAATTACAATGCTACTTGTCATGGGCTTCACGTGGGAGACGGTTCTTAAGAAAGGACATGCAGTTCCCGCAGTAGGTGTGTTTAGTAAATCAAAGGTGAGATTTCTTAACCCTCTTGTAAGATTGAAATTGAGGATTCTGGGTAAATCCTAAACAACCCTGAAGCTCTGTATCCTGTTAGCAATCTGCAGCCCAAACCCATCAATGACTTACACAATTACAATACTGACAAGTTCAAAGAAACTTCCCTGACAGTATCAAATGAGTGATTTCCATACTATGCTTTCAGTGCTTGACTCAACTGTCTGATTGTGCCATGGCTCTGGGACATCTCAGTGACAGTGACAGCTGTGCTGGAAGATTATACCTCATTTGTCACCTAGCCTAACACAGGTAGGCAAGTAGGGCTCTAAACAGACCATGGAGTTTTGCTTTTCAAGACATGAGGTAAAAAAATGTCCCAAGAGAACAAGAAGCATATTCTGTGCACTCCAAGATAGTCCTGGCTCTGAAGAATGAACACCTCGAGAGGCACTATCGGTGACGGGGATGTACCCAAAGCTTGGTCAAAGAGCTGCACACAACCAGCCTCACGCTAAGAAATCTCCTAAGTTCAAGCAGCTGTCATGACATGTGGCAGGTAACTCAAAGGACAGGGACATGCAATCAAATGACACGTGCCACTCAGTCATAGCTCCCTTCCCTCCTTCTGCACAATGTCCAGGGGCTGCAGTGTGACAACAACGCTCTGCCTCTGGAGTAAACATGGCAGGAGCTGCAGACACTGCTGGAGACTGGACTGCCGTTGCGCACAATTATGCATTGTGCATTTTGTGCCACTCCCAGCTGCAGTTCTGCACTGTGCCATATTGCTGTATGTAATGGGCTTTGACAGCACATACTGTACACTGTGGGTGGGCAAGAGGCGCCTGGTGTGCAGCTCTTTGGATCTGTGTCCCAGCCATTCATATCACCTGCATCTGACCTGGCACTTGGACTCAGCGGATGTACAGTCAATGTAGGCACTTTGTGAGGGGAGCAGGTTGGTGAGCAGCCAACTGCAGGAAGGACAGTCCAGCAGAAATGTCCCAGGACCACCACATGTGTAGTGGGAAATAACTTCAATTCACTTATACAAAGCTTCACTTGAGCACAACCCCAAATTCACCTTCACACCTGCAGCCATGCTGCATAGGAGTCAACCCTATAATCTGCTTCAATTTCTGTTCCTCTGCTACACAAATGTGTGCCTTCCTCAAATGAAGCACTTTAATTCCTCTTCCTCATATAGAAGAAGTGGGACTGTCTTGGCCAGAGGCATATGATGTATATGACCTACAGGAGAATTTACTTGTTCTGTGACAGTATTTTTACTGTGGCAACTAGAATCAACTTATTGAAGGTCAAGTTAAAGCAACATTTCCCAACTACTATTTTATCTACTAAAACTGTCACTATTACCAAGACAATAACTGAAAATGAGATGTGTTGTCTAGCAAGGAATGGCATGCACTGTCATAAGATAAATATGGGCAAAGAGTAGGTCCTGGTAATAAATATCTTCCAGCCTCAAAAATCAATCAAAGGCCACAGAGTATAGCACATCAACTGGTGCTACTGGATTTGACTTCTTTGAGGTTAGAATATGTAATTGCTTGCCTTGAAATTACAATAGGAAAAATGTTTATTTTGCACATGCATCTTTCCAAAGTTAACACATATGGGAAGAACTTCAAACGGGACAGAAAGACAATCTCTCCTACTACTCTGAGAATCTGGAGGCAGTGCAGCCCATTTTAGCTGTTAGTCAGCCACTCAGCCCCACCTAAGGAGCCACCCGAGGGTGCTCAGTCAGAACCAGCTTATCATGCAGCTGAAACACTGTGAAGCACCAAATAAACTACATATATGTACTCCTATCCAAGAACAATGGCACTGCTGTACTCTCTTTATCCCACAAAACCCATGAAAAATAAGAATATGCTAAGACAGGCAATACTGTACCTGAGTATTTTATAATGAAGCAGAATATGCTTCCCTAGGAGTCACAAGCAATTATTCACTTCTGACTAGGAGTAATTTGCAGAGAAGTGTGGGTGTCTGAGTCATTACAAAACAAAACAAAAAACCAACAACAACAACAAAAACAAAAAGCTTTAACCTTTCAAGTATACCAGACAGAGCATCCAACAGACTGTCCGCTTACTTACATTTATAAAATAGGGTAGACTCTTCCCCTTATTTAGAGGATTTTGCCTCTTCTAAAGGTGTGACAGAAGGGGAACTTTAGCCAACATATTGGAACCATCAGGGCTGATGATCATAAAGCAGCATGTTTCTTTTACTGTACATGAAACTGTGTTGCCTTCTCAAACCAGCACATTATTAGTCACATACATACTTTTAACATTATAGGGAACTTACGCCTCTCATTGCTGTTCTGCACTTTTATTTCAAATTATGTCCTACAACGCTTTGGGTTTCTAACCTTTTATTCATGTCTAGGTACTTTCTAAATGCCTTTTATGACTAATATTAGGTATCTCTTACAGAAATAAACACCATTTGGGGAAAAAAAGGTGTTTATATGTAATTACATAAAAGTTTATAGTAATTTCTTACATTATAGAGATAACACTGCTATTTCTATTCAGAATATTTTTATTTTAAACAGAACAATTTTCTTGTAAAAGATACTAAACTATATTTTGGTTAAAAGAGGTCCTACTTTAAGACCTTGCTAGCTAACAGAATCGGTTAACACAAAACATTACAATATTGATGCTATGGGGGAAAATTTCTTAAGATTTTAGGGACAGAATTCTGCTTTCAAATAGGGCACTTGCACCTATTCTTCATAGTTAGTACTCTCGTGTTTTCCCAGTGTCTAGGTGATATGGTCATGTTTGGATAGAAATTACTGTTCCTCATTGCTCCCTAAAGCTTTGTCTTGTATTACCTAAAGTTCAGAGCAGCTCAGCCATAGTCCTGTATTTAGGCCATCTTGTAATTACATGAGAATTCTGTGCACTGGGAACTGCTGAAATCAACCATCCGGCCCTTTCAATGCCGTTTGAGC